GTTCATTATATCATCAGTGTGGAGTTGGTGGGTTGCAAATAAAGGCCCTGGATGCCAGCTAGGGTGTGGGCAAGCCTGGCACCTCCAAAGATGTAGTTTCTCTGTTGGCTTGCTTGGAAAGGCCGGATTAAAACATCTTCCTTTCTCCAAAGGATTGGGGTTCTTCCTCCCAATGCACAGATCCAGTGCGTGTTTTGTCAATCTGTGGAGGACTCTGTGGAGCATCTGTTGCTGTTTTGCCCTCTGATTTGGAAGTGCTGGGCTGCCATGGCTAGCTGGTGGGATCAGAATTTGGTTATTCCTGGTTCTGTCGAGGGTCTGCTCCAATGGTGGTCTGGGGGTAATGCGAAGTCTTGGGTAGATAGAGCTTGGCAGGCAATTCCTGCACTAGTGTTGTGGTCAGTTTGGAAGTTAAGAAATGAATGCCTATTTAAAAGGGTTGCTCCAGATTTTGCAGGTTTATGTGAGTGGATGAAACTGTAGATTGCACTGTGGGTGAAGTGGTCCCTCAAGGTGGATTATTCTGTCCATGATCTTGTCTCAAACCTATACCAGATTAGGCTCCTCGCTCGAAGTCTCCTCAGCAACCGGCTCAGGCAGTACAGAGGTCTGCCTTAGTGCAGATGTGCAGGCTGTTTCGTTTTGTGCTAGGCTCAATTTTGTGCTGGGCTCAGGTAGGTTAGAGGAACTGTGTTTTATTCCCAGGTGATGTCTGTTGATCGGCTTCTGCTGGGTGTTGTTCTGTTTCTTGGCTGGATGTAGCTTTGTTTTGTTCTTTTTGTCTCTACGTTGGTTTCTCACCAACTAAGAGGCTAGAGTTTCGTTTAACTCCAAACTCCTCTTTATTGATGTATTCCGTTGTGTTAATCAATAAAATTTCTCTTTGCCGATCAAAAAATAAATAAATAAAACGATCCCTAAAAAGATATTTAGTAATAAAAATATAAAAATTTGAAAAAACTTAATAATATGTATGATTTTGAAAATAGATCTTTTTGAAGAAGAATGCAATTTAATCATATGTCTATAGTTGACAAATGAATCTAATTTTTGTATAAATAATCTATTCAGAAAACCTTAAAAGAAAAATTATTCAAATTATCGAAATGAAACCCATGGAGAGCTCACTAAGTCGTAACAACACAGTCTAATTTGCAAAGACAACTTAAAACACTACAACAAAAACATACTTTAGTGGCACTACACTAGTGGCATATTTTTAGAAAATGCCACAAAAATGATATTTAGTGGCACGTTTTTGAAAAATGCCACAAAACGACAAACATAAAAGGCTCTAGTGACATTTCAATGAACAAGTGTCACAAAACTACAACAAAAACATACTTTAGTGGCACTACAATAGTGGTATATTTTTAGAAAATGACACAAAAATGATATTTAGTGGCACGTTTTTAAAAAAATGCCACAAAACGACAAACATAAAAGGCTCTAGTGACATTTCAATGAACAAGTGTCACAAAACTACAACAAAAACATACTTTAGTGGCACTACAATAGTGGTATATTTTTAGAAAATGACACAAAAATGATATTTAGTGGCACGTTTTGGAAAAATGCCACAAAACAACAAACATAAAAGGCTCTAGTGACATTTCAATGAACAAGTGTCACAAAACTACAACAAAAACATACTTTAGTGGCACTACAATAGTGGTATATTTTTAGAAAATGACACAAAAATGATATTTAGTGGCACGTTTTGGAAAAATGCCACAAAACAACAAACATAAAAGGCTCTAGTGACATTTCAATGAACAAGTGTCACAACACTACAACAAAAACAATCTCTCTTGACACCATACTAGTGGCATCCCGTTTAATATTAGTTTTTATGAAAATATATACAAAAAGTAAATTGAGTGACGTAACAACTTATAGAGATTTTTTTACTATAAACCCAACTTTTTTTTTACTACAAACCCAACTTGCTAAAAGAAACCTTAATAAAAATAAAAATAAATTGAAACTAATTTTTAAACACTTGTTTTGCACGCTCGAGTGAGGACTTGTGTCACACGCTCGAGTGGGTGTCGAGCGCCCATCAAGCGTGATTTTCACACATCTAGTACTTTTGCATTATGCTCGAGCGGGAAAGTTTTGGGAAGAGTGTGGTGTATAAGGTTTATGGTGCGGGAGGTTGGCGGTTCGAGTCTCTGCAAGAGCAGATCAAATTGTTCTACAACGAATTCCAAGAAATGATGGCACTTGATAGCGTCACGAATAGTGCCTACCATGACATTAAAGTGTCACTGAAAGGTTTTAGTCTTGATGGTGTAATGACACTTACAAGTGTCACTAACTCTTTTTTTAATGGCGCTTGATAGTGCCACAAATAATATCTACCATGACATTAAAATGTCATTGAAAGTTTTCAGCTATGATGGTGCAGTGACACTTGCAAGTATCTACCGTGGCATTCGTATCTACCGTGGCACCGATAGAAGTGGCACTTGTTCAAAATGCCACAAGACCAAAAAATGTCATTAGAAGAATAGTTTTGTGGCACTTTCAAATGTCACTAAACTAAGAAAATGTTGTAGTGAAAGAATTTGAATCTTCTAATGTTTGTTTGAATGTATAAGCAAGGGCGGAAATTGTGTTGTTTTAATCGTGTTATGTTATGTCGTCTTGAGTTCATGTCAAAATGTTCACAATGCTATCATTTAATTTTTTGGTATTACCGCATCATGTCAATAAAATTATACCCTTAAGTTAAAAAATAATAAATAAATTAAAAAATGCTCATCATTTTTACATTTTTTTTTTGGTACACCAATAATTTTTTAAAATTTAAAAAATCTTTTTTTGGTTGTTATTTTCATATTATATAATTGACTTATTAGTTACGCCATCATTTTGGAGAATTAGAACTCTGCCCCAACTCAAGAGGTGGCGAGTGACCCATCTGTATGGCCATTTGGCAACATGGGTTAAAAATCAAAAGTCAACTTTTAATTCATTTTTGCTCAAATCACTTTTCACATAAAAAATTTTAAAAAATCAAAAAGTCAGTTTTTAACTATCTTTCCAAAACACCCCGGGTCAATAAACGAGCTCGATAAGTAAACGAGCCGAGCTCGAGCTCAGCAAAGTTCGGCTCGGCTCGGTTCGTTTGTAGCCGTTTGCAGCCTTACTCTTACGCACCGTTTTGCCATTTTTTTATTCATATGCTACATGCACCTTGGAGGAACTCGGGTTGTATTAGATACCTCAAAAAAATTATTTGATAAATCTGACTTATCACGTAATTGTGTTCACCTTATATCAAAAGGACACATAATCATGTTATTTTGCACTTCCTCGTATCTGTTGATGTAATCCATATGGTTGTACATTTTTTTCATCAATGGAGTTTATTTTCGTTGGTCAAAAAAAAAAAAAAACATAATTTTGTTATTTTAAAACATTGAAAAACAAGTAGGAATAATCAATTATATAGGCCTATTTTGGCAATACAGTTAAAAGTTAGTTTTTTTACTTTTCAGTTTTTTTGAGTCAAATCATTTCTCTATTTTGTGCACATTTAAAAAAAATTAAAAATTAAAAATCAACTTTTAAGATACTTTCCAAAATAGGTAACAATCTTACACAATTGTTATATGATTAAAAGAACATATCCCATAAGATATAGACTAGACCTACTTAAATAATTTCTAGATACGATGGGATTGGAGGGATGTTTTTTTAACACTGATACCCCTAATTCGGCTAAACATACATGGTCGAAAAATTACACCAAAGCACATTTACCACAATCAGAAGATGAAGGTAGAATACTAAGCCATTGTTTGGCAACAACTTTCTTATATTTTCAGTTGAAACTTATTTATTTATTTTTACAATTTTTAGATAACATAAAAAAGAAAAAATTATGGAATTTTAGCCGCAAATGAAATATTTTAAAAAGTTTACAAGATTGTTGTTTCTGATGCCTTCATTGAGATTTATATACGTATGACATATAAAAAAGTATATAGAAAAGAAAAGAAAAAGAAGCTATATATAAATATGGTGAGAATTTTTGAAAAAATAGATGAGAAGTGATGCAATGATACCATCTCCAGCTAACGTTGGAAAGCCAAAGAGAGAGAGAGAGAGCACTGAGCTGAGAACACCCTATTAAACAATTACACAAGAATAAGCCCACACTGTTCTATATAAAGTAAGTGCAAAATCAGTACATACATGAATATACTCTTATGTTAGCCACTTTTAATAATTCCAGCCCCTCAATCATCATTCACGGATGCTAGTTTTTATTCAGAATTCTTGACTCAAAATTCAATTCATGTGAATGTTTGTCAAAGATTTTTGAACCACTTCATCTGCTCATTTTTGCAGTTTTCTGATATGGTTGTTGAATTCAGTAAATAGCAGTCTGATATCTGGGTAATCAATGATCTCAACATCTTATCTTAGATTTTATGATTGGTCAAAAAAAAAGAAAAGAAAGAGTTCAAACCATTTGGGACACTAGGAGTGTTGTGTACCATGAATCCAAATAAATTTAAGTGGACAGATCTAGATAAGTGGTAAATTCCACCATTGATTGGTAACGAGTAAAATTAGATACAAAAAAAACTCAGTCAACTTAGGACAACGAAATGGCTTTTGTTATCTAATTATCATTGGAATTGGATAACTAATCAATCTTATTAATCCTACTACACAATGTAAACTAAAAATTAGAATCTAATTGCCATTAGAACTAATCCTAGTTATTATATTATTGAAACTGATTCTACTTGTCAAAATTTTTGGTATAACGTCATTAGACCAAATCATCTCAAGTGGTTCAGGCAGAACAAAACAAATTATTTTGTACATGTAAATTTTTTTTTTATTTTTTATATATACAATAGATCTTGTATATACCCATTATGAACATACATAAAAAGTAAAAATAATCTTAGTTAAATTATCATTCTTTATTTTTTACCTTAAAATAAAATTTAAAAAAAAAATTTCATTCAGAAAAGTGGTATATGTATATTTGGCAAAAAGGTATAATAACCTAGCAGGACGAGGTTCCACATATAGTAAGTAGTGACGAAACATAGAGGACATTTGCAGGTTAAAACCCTCCTCCGACGAGACTTTCAGCTTCTGGCTTAGATTTTGATGGCCTCTCCTGCAACCCTCTTCATTACTACTCTCTCTCCTCCCTCTCAATACTCTGTCTCATCACTTCAAATCCAACTCTTCATCATCTCCACACATCTCTGGTAAATGGGTAAGTGCTCTCTCTCTCTCTCTCTCAACTTTTAAAAGATGGATTTGTTTCCTTTCTCCTTCCTATTGACATGATATTACCTAGACTGTTTCTTTGTCTTTTTATTTGATCTTTTGCTAGGTCTGACTCTGACTTTATCAAAAGCTATATAGAATATATGGAGAGGAACAGTTTGAGCAATAACTTGAAAGAACACAGCATTGGTGGAAGATCCATGAAAGGCAACAAAAGTGATAAAGATTCATGGGAATATTATAATAGCAGCAGTGACAGTCATGGTGGAGGAGATTTGCCGAGTGGGTTTTCATGGCCTCCAAGATCTTACACTTGTTCCTTCTGCAAAAGGGAATTCAGATCTGCTCAAGCCCTTGGTGGTCACATGAATGTCCACAGGAGAGATAGAGCCAGGCTGAGACTATCACCTCCAAGGGATGGTCAGCAGTACCCTTTCCTTAACCTTGACCTTAACCCTAACGCTCCTAACCCTAACTCTGAACCTAACCCTAGTCAAAACCCTAATGACCCATCTCCTTCATCACAATTGTCACCACCTCCTTCAACAAGGTTCCCTCCAATCACTTCCACATCTCTTCCCTCTTTGTCTTCACCATCTTCTGCTTCTCCAAGTGAAATTAGGAAATGGGTGATGAACAATACTCCAAGCCATCTGTTCAGCAATAGGGTTGGAGATTTGGCGAAGATCAAGTCTTCGAAAACCCTTTTCGGGGTAACAGAATTTGAAAGCATAAGACAAGAAAAGGAATGCGAGGTTGCGAAGGAGGCAGAGATTGTTAGGTTGGACTTGGAGATCGGTTTTGTTAGTGACTCAAAGGAGGATTTGGATTTGGAACTTCGCCTCGGACGCCCTTAGATGAGCTTTTTGAAGCTGCATTGGCTAGTGTTTCTAAGGTTGGTGGCCCTAGATTGACTTGTTGCACCACCTTGTGATATTAATTAATTAACTATGCGACGAAATTATGTATGTGCATGGAGATTTCAAGTGCTCACGGCAATGTTAAGACTATTAACTTCATATTTCTATTAAATCATCATGTTATTTTCTACCTTTATTAATTAGCTGATGGATATATACATATCTTCCCCATAACCATGAGATTTGTTAATGTGTTTTTTAAAACAACAAAATTAGTTTTTCCAAACACTTGCAAGTACTGCTTTGTTCTCCTTTCTGTCATGATGAGATGCTTTTAAAGCTTTGACTGATGTCTGTGATTGTAGAGATATAGAGAGTGATCTCTTTTTTTTTTCATTTTGTTTTTATTTTTTATTTTTTATATCACGGCACATACTTTCTCAAATAGTTCATCCCATTTCTATGCATTTAATTGTTAATCTATTCCACTTCATTGAAGTTTTTCTTGCTAATCTTTTCCACTTCATTGAAGTGTTATATATATTTATGATATGTTTTACCTAGTTTACTCTAGTTACTATGGTCGTTGCATGGTTGCTTGTTTTCTTGTTAGGTTAACTGTAAGAAGGCTTTTTGGAAATAAAAAAAGATGGCCTCTGTTGTGATTATTCTAATCAGAAGATAACCAACTAGCTAACTCTTGTATGTTAGTCTTGGCCGGAGGATGTGCCAACATAGAAAAAGAAGAAGAAAAAGGTTATTTATTAATTAGCAAAATTACATTAATAGCCTCTATACTTCATCGTTGTGTCATTTTGGTCTATGTCGCTCTAATTCTCTCGATTTACATATTGATTTTTTTTTATTAATTTGGTCCAATTGATAACCCTCATTAGGGTTTTTGACAAACTCCATCGTTCTTCTTGAAACCCCATGATTTTCTTTCTGATTTTGATGGTTATTGGGTATTGGAGGGGTAATGTGACATGGCGGTGGGGTGGCGAGTGGAGGGGTGTTTGATAGTGTGAAGTGAATGTTATTGATTAGACTAAATTGATACAAATTTTTTTTTTAAAAAAAAAAATGATTAAAATTGAGCAAAAATTCAAGATCAAATTGACACAAAAGACAAATTACTGGTTTACTAGTGTAATTACCTAGTCAATTATAAGTAGAAAGGTGGTCATTTGTTACTAACAAAAGTAACACTCCAACAAATGGCACTTTTGGCGATTAAATTTTTAGTCGCCAAAAGTACTTTTTTAGTTGCTGAAAGGTTTTACTGACTAAATTATTTGGTGCCAGCTTAGTCGTTGAGTAATTGTCGGGAAAAGTAATTAGCTACTAAATTTGTTTTAATTATAATTAGCAAGCTGTCCACACAAAATTGTTGGCTAACATAATACTAAACAGTACTAATGTCATGCGCATATATAAAACATTTTACAACATGAGAAGTGAGATAGATAAAAAGATGGGTGGATGGAGGAAAACTACCAATTTTCATAGCATTTACCAGCTCCTGTGGATATTAATTTTTTTTTAGCACAAGTGTGGATATGAACAAGATTAAGTACTATTTTTTTATTGTTTACTAAACGGAAAATTAGAAAAATAAAAATGTTGCATATGTTGCTTGTCTATTGTGAAATTTTTATCTTGTAGCCTTCCACCAAAGATAGACCAAAAAAAAGTCACCTTATATTAAAAGGCAAATTACAAACACCCCCTCGAGATTTGATAAAAATACAGATTCTCCCTTGAGGTTTGAAAAATTACAAATTACCCCCGGAGGGTCAAATTTTCATGACAAATTAGGAAAAATTATGGGAGAATCTGTATGAAAATAAAAACCTCAGAGGGTAATTTGTTATAGAAATATAAACCTCAGGGGGTGGGATGTAATTTCTCAAACCTCAGGGAGGAATCTGTATTTTCACCAAATCTCAAGAGGGGTATTTGTAATTTGCCCTATATTAAAATAGGCACATATCAATTAACATTAGGATAGCAAAGACATGCACATGGGGAAACAATGCATTTAAACATAGATAAGGAAGGATATCACCTACCAATTCCATGTATATCTATACATATATACATTTTTTTTTTGATGCACTGTTGGGTGTTGCACCGCTGATGTTGAAGCTTTGTTGATTGGCTTCTTAATGCTGCTTGTATGCTTGTTGATGCTTTGTTGAAGCTTTGTTGATGTTTCTTTCTTTGCTGCTTGTTCTGTTCTTCTTTGGGTGTTTTTGATTGGTTTCTTACCAATCTTGGGTCAAGTGCTAGTATATGATTGTGCTTCCTTTGCGGTGCCAACCTAGTTGGGATTATTAAGGTTAGTTATGATATTTTTTACACTTCCTGCTTTGTTGATGTAATGTTGCTTGTATTTTACCTCTTTCATCAATAAAGTTTTATTTTTGCTGATCAAAAATATATATATATTTTTTTTTTGAAGCAGCCAAAGAAACCTTCCTTTATTGATGACCAAACCATACAATACATTTTTTTTTTTAAAAATTTATTAAATAAAGTTTTGTTTTTGCTGATCAAAAAAATATATATATATATACATTTTTTTTTAAAAAAAATTTCTTAAGGTATCTAGGATTTTGTCCCAACATTATTTTTATTTATATAGTCTCTCTGTGTCACATATATTAAATTTCTAAAGATAGCTTCAAGAGAAATAGAGCCATTTAACTATTGATTCTCTAAAAAAAAAAAAACTTTGACAGTTACACTTTGAGATACCATGATTTTTTTTTTATTTTTTTTTCTTTATTTATTTATTTTTAATGAGAGTTACAGATCTGATGAACTGAGACAACCTGTTGATTTCAATATAAATTGTCTTGTTGGATCCATGTTCCAAGTTCTAGCACAAAATGCACAAACATGAATCCCAATATGCTATGTATGTGTTTCAATTCCACCTTCTCCATAAATCATGACATCAAAACAACCAAAACTTTGACAGCAATTTCACATCACGAATATTCTGTGTTTTGAATTTTGCTGACGTTAACTTTGTTGAATTGCACTCAATTCGCCTACAAGTTCCAACACTGCAATCATGCACTTAGAACCCAAGCAATTCGAGCTTTAATTCAATTTTTTTTAAGGTTTAGGTAATAAATTTTTGAATTCAGGGTAGATTTGGATAGAAATTCAGAAATTTAAATTAAATTTGAGTCAAGCTTATATAGAAACAGTGAACGATCCAAGCAACTTGAAACCCAAATTATATATACATATATGTTATTAACCGATAAATAATGTTTAAAAATAAATAAATAAAATAAAAAAATAAAAAAACTCATTAAAGAACCTAGATACACTTAGAAACCAAATCTAGTTACTTGCCCTAAAACTAGAAGCAAAACACCTGAATTTTAAGGGCACATGCATAAAAAATTGTTAAGAATTATACATTTTGTATAAAAATATATAATTTTGTAAAATTTTCTTAACATATGCTGTAAAGGGCACACTTCAACAGGAATTATACAAAATAATCAAACTTGAGCAACCATCTCTAGGTGTTTTTGGCATTGGAAACAGTAGAACATCCAGTGGATCTATCTCAACAATCTCCATAGGTTGACATTGACATTGCTGATGATTATTCATAAAAAAATAAGGCCAATAATTTAATTAAATAGAAGTTATCTTGATATTTTATTTTAAAATAAAAAGTTACTATTGAGCCACGCCATTATTTATAAAATTTCTTTATAAATTTTTTTATTTATTTTATATATCATTACAAAGATCTAGCAGGAGGCCCAAACGGTTTAAAAATTTGAATTTCCACCCCAAAAACAAATAAATAAAGATTTGGGCTGGGTACTACTGAAGTTTAAGGCATCTGGGCCTGCTTCATGACAACTAAGAACCATGACGGCCTGAATTGATGAATTAGTTCGTTTTAGAGCTTACATGTTAGTTTTTGTGTTCTCCTCTATTGATGTTGTCTTACATTCCGATGCACCTAATAAAATTTCTTAAAAAAAGAAAAGAAACTGCTTTAACTGATTGTTTTTTGTAACCAAAAAAAATTGGTCGCAATTTGGTCGCTAAGAGCCCGTCACAGAAGATTTTTGGCAACCAAAACTTGAGTTGGTCGCTGAAAGTAAGCATTTGCGACCATATACTTTGGTCGCGAAAAGGATTCCAATTTCTTAAAAGTTCATTTTGCGACCAAAATTCTAGTCGCTGAAAGGTAACAATTGTGACTACCGATTTTAATTGCTAAAATGTGATCGTTAATAGCATTTCACAACCAAAAACTCTGATCGCAAAAAAGTTCACAACAGATATTCTCAAAGACCTATTGTGACTAAAATTTTATTGGTTGCAAAAAAAACTTTCAATTTTAAAAATCATTTTTGTCAATGTAATGCTAATTTTTTTTGTAATACCTATAATACATTTGAAATTAATGCATAATTCATGTCCATCCAATTAAGCTACCAGTTTGGAAGCAAAACTTGTATAGGGGCTTCACAATCATCTTAGAGAAAGGAATGAGAGACATTATTATTGAGACTGATTCTATACAAATTGTTAAACTCCATGAAGAATCTAACCCAACTTTCCAGCATAGGGCCCTCCTTGAGGATGCTAAGTTCCTGCTATAGAAGTGCAAATGCACCATCCAACACATCCTCAGAGATGGAAACAAATCTGCTGATGGTTTGGCTAATTTAGGGGTGAATCACCAAGAACCATTTGTTTTTTTGAATGACCCACCTAGTGAGATTGCTAATCTGCTTGTTGCAGATATACTAGGAACATCTGTGTAATCAACCCAGGGGTGAGTGGCAACTTGGTAAGGGCTTGGGGTTTAAGCCCCCAGGTCCTGGGTTCAACTCCCCTCTGGGCCAATCTCCTGAGTATAGCACAGTTAGTTAGGAGGTTGACCTCAAGGATGCCTTATCAGCTACTTAGTGTGGGTTTAATTCTCCTTATCAGCTACTTGGTGTGGGTTTAATTCTCCCCCGCTGTGCGAGTCCTGACTTAAGCGGAGCTTGCCTTGGGAGGTCGGGACAAGCTTCCAGGTTATAGTCTTTTACTCAGAACGGACAATAGGACACCCTTTAATTCTCCCCCGCTGTGCGAGTCCTGACTTAAGCGGAGCTTGCCTTGGGAGGTCGGGACAAGCTTCCAGGTTATAGTCTTTTACTCAGAACGGACAATAGGACACCCTGGTGATCTCCTCAAGGGACGCTGCCTTGGACCTGCGGAAGAGTGGAAGGATTTTCCTGTAACAAAAAAAAACATCTGCGTAATCAAGGCTTCATGCCTTAACTCTTTGTTCTCTTATTTTCCCCTGAATCAAGGGAAAAATAAATATATAAATAAAAATATAAAATTAATTAATTTCGACATACTAATCCATCAACAATCCAATTTACAAACAAAAAACCATTGAAAAGAAGTCAAAATAATAATTAATCTATCTAATTACTACCACCATCAACATGAACACATTAATATTTGACAAAATAACCATCAATCCATCCATTTAGTTTACAAAATAACCATCCATCCATCCATCCATTTAGTTTACAATGAATTCACCACATCGAAAACATATTTAACAAAACCATCAAAGATTTCAAAAACCATTCATATCCAAGTGCGTGTCATATTTGTCTGATGCAAAATATATCAAAAACTTCATGTATAAGCACAACTTAGAATTAATGCACCGGCAAACTCATGTCCATAAACACGCATGACTACACTTCTAACTACCTGCAATAAAACAAACAAACAAAAAAATAAATAAAAATGAAGAGAGCGTTGTTAATAATAATATTTTTGCTTACATTTCTATTTAATTTTGTAAAATTATGTGGATCTAATTCCACTCCCAAACTAGCAATCACATAGAGCCTTACTAGAAAGTTCAGGTAAAAAAAACAAAACAAAAGAAAAAAGGGAATTAATAGATATGCATAAATAGTACTCAAATACCTTAACTAGAAAATAGGACATTTTTCTGACACCAACCTTTGGAAATCCAACGATTGAACCAGCTGTCAAAATTGTTCTCTGCAATGTGCTAGTCCATATCTAGGCCATAGGCCAAAGCACACAAAATGCCTATAAGAATTTCTGAAAGCAAGCTTGTACAGAAATTTAAGGCATTTATATTCATCATTAACATAGCATTTGTGTACTCTAGTACAGTAACTGAGATATACGTTCCTCTCCTAAGAACAAAACTAAGTATTTGCTTCCAGAAAGCATGTCTAAATGTTGTTCCAATGCAAAAATTTTCTAAATGGATCCCACTTCAATCCAACTGCTAGCTATGACATTTCCATGTTTGATTTTTATTTTTTTATTTGGTACAGAGGAAAAGAACAGCAAAAAACAAAACTAAGCAGGCCTACTGTACAGTCTGCTAAAAGCAGGGCACTAATTCCTGGGAGGATCTACTAGGCCTACAATGCATAAACTTTTTCGTTTAATGGCTGCAATATGGTAATGTTGTTCTCCTCCTTTATTGGTGAAGTCGTAGAATATAATTTTTTTATGTAGTTTAAAGTCATAGATTCATCCCTAGTGTATAAAAGGCAAGACAAAATCATCTGAAGTAAAGGCTTCCTAGCCACCAAAATGTGGTGGAACTGAACTAAATTGCCATCACAGCATGTCATCTTTGTGATGCAGTCCACAAGCAAGCCCCAAGATGGTGAAATGAATGGCTAACAACCACAGTCTTGGGCAATTGTGGGGTGGTGCAATGAATGGCTAACCACAGCCTTGGGCATTGGCATGATCTGATTACACAGCTAAGGCCCCAAGATGACCCAAACAACCTGCAAAGACTGATGCCAAAAGGATGGCCAAAGAAAGACCGGTGTGTTTTGTCTGCTTCTTACTTCCTGGTAGTATCCAGGCTTTTTTTTTTTCTCCTCCCTTCTTCAGGGATTTTATTACTGGAGGGACTGAAGCCCAAGTTGCATCATGCCTCAGCCCCCATGATAATAAAAGAGAGATTTCACTGTCATAATTTTTCAAGAACTACACCAATCAAGATGAGGGTGATTGAATCAAACTAATGATCAGCAATTCACCTTTTTTTTATATCAGCCTCCTGGTTGGGGAGAAAAGTCACATAAATTAACTGACAGAATATCCCATAAGTTATCATCATCACAACAAATAAAGAGAGTTTCTATTCTACACTTAGCCTGGTCTAGTGTTACAATTTGACTCAAGCTCTTTGCATTATTTCGTTCCCACCTTGTAATTATGGTTTGTTGATAGTAATCTTCTTCCCTTCATCTCCATTAACCAATTTTATTTCATTGTTAAATTTTGTCAATAAGCCATATACGTTGCATTCTTAAGAATTCTTTTTGTCACATGTGAAAAGTGGGAAGGGAATGCATAGGATGTGCAGCGAATTGCCTGTCCTACCAAACCCAACCCGACCCGACCCGACCACATTTGGATGGATGTGTGACGCGTGGCGGGCGGATGCGGGCCCAGTTTATGAGTTTTCGCGAGTTCGGGTCGGCGTGGCGGTTGATCCACCACTACACCCGTGAAACCCGACCCGCCCGTTTTTGCCTCCGTTTTTCTTTTTCTTTTTCTTTTTAACTTTTATATATGTATTTATTTATTATTGATCAACAACAAAAACTTTATTGATAAATCAGAAAAGGAATAGAGGATGAGGTATCCTCTTACAAAAGGACAATGATAATACAAAATTGAAAACCCTTAACAAGCTAAACACGGACAAAATCCTACATATCACAAACCGCCAACCAATCTCTAGTTACCAAAAAAAGTGGAACTCCCTTAAATAAAGAGTTCCTCGATACCTAGAAAAAAGTTAAGTGACAAACATTATCCCACAAACAACCCACTTCCCAAAACTTATCTTCAAACAACCTCGCATTTCTCTCTCTCCATAGAACCCAAAAAGTTACAAAGATGACACAAGACCATAGCATTTTAGCTCTCTTTGATCCTCCGAAAGTACAAAAATCCACTAGGAGCATATGCATACTCCCTTTTGGAGCTACCCACATAACATTTCCCAAAGAAAACAATCTACGCCATAAATTCAACGCTATTGGACAATGCAAGAATAAATGATCCACGGATTCCCCATTTTTACAACACAGAATGCACCATTAAGGATTTAAAAAATTATTGGATCTCCTTTTTTGCAATGTATCATTTGTCAAAATGCCTCCATGAACCAAGGCCCACATGAACACTTTTTACCTTTAGGGGAGCACAAGCTTTCCAAACTTTTTTGCAAAAAGAAAACTGAGGAACATGAGGATTATCAATGATGTAATCAAAAAAAGACTAACAAGAAAATATCTCGGACGAATGAAGAGCCCAAACCCACTTGTCCTCCAACAGAGGAAATAAAGAAAAATAATCAATCTTGGCCAATAAAGAAGTCAACTATGAAGCCTCCCTATCATTAAGATTCCTAGAAAAATCAAAATTTCAGGAAATTGGAGCCAAAAGTGAGCAAGCCATGGTCGCAATTGTAGAATTATGAGAACGAGCCACTCTATATAGATGTGGGAAATCGGCAACAAAAGAAGATTGACCCATCCAAACATCCTCCCAAAATCGAACAAGTTCTTCATTGCCCATCCGAACAAAAGATGACGAGACTAACATGTGTAAATTTGATAAATTGACTTCCAAGGAGCGCAAGAGTTACCCCTCAAAACCGCCCGTGAATCCCTACCATTGTCATGAGTCCTATATTTACTTTTTATAACCAAATGCCATAATGAATCAGCCTCGAAGGGAAATCTCCATAACCACTTACTGAGAAGAGCCATGTTCCTAACCACAATATTACCGATAGCCAAACCCCCCTTCTCCTTAGATAACAACACTAACTCCCAATTCACCAAGTGATCCTTTTTCCCCTCATCCTTCCCTTCCCAAAGAAAATCTCTCATCAACTTTTCTAGTGACCTAGCCACCTTAACCAGAACCTTAAACAAAGATAAATAATAAATAGGGATACCACTCAAAATAGACCTAACCAAGTGTATCTACCCCCACGTGATAATAAGGCCTTACTCCACTCTTCCAATCTCTTACCAATCTTTCCACCACTAGAGACCAAAAAGCTTCACTCCTAGGATTATTCCCCAATGGAAGACCCAAATACTTAAACGGAAATGACTTTATACCACAACGTAAAAATGACGCCATGTTCTGAAGTTGATCTTACTGTATATTAATCCCCACCACACTACTTTTTTCCAAATTAACCCTAAGCCCTAAAATAATCCCAAAAAATTTCAAAATCGAATAAAGATTAACTAGCTGACTTTCATCCCTTGAGGAAAAAATATGGTATCATCCGCATATTGTAAATGAGTCACACTAACTCTATCCCGCCCCACCTCTAACCCCGCAAAAAGACCTCCTTTAGCTCTATCAACCATCCTTCCCAACACATCAACCACCAAAATAAAAGAAAATGAGATAGTGGGTCCCCTTGTCGTAGCGCCCACAAAGCCGTAAAGCATTCCCCCAGTTTACCATTAACTATGACTGACATATTGCAAGTTGACAAACAACCCCTAATCCAAAATTAACAACCCCTTTTTTACCTGAGCCATTCTTCTTCTTCGATTGACAGACATACATACAAGGCAGACACACTCTCTTCTCTCTCTCTCTCTCTCTCCCCCCAAAACCCTAAGCATCTACCGACGGCGACGAGCAACAACTGACGATCTATACCTAAAGTCGATTGGCGATCTTCTTTCCCGTTTCTTCGACTGAAACCTTAACCCTAACCCATTCTTCGACTAAAAGAGGATCAACAATCGTCGTGGAGTGGTGAGATCTTCTTTCCTCTTCTTCTTCTTCTCAATCTCTAATCTGTGTTTTTTGCTCTTTTGTTTTTTTTGTTGCTTTTTTTTTTTTTTTTTTTTTTTTTTGGTGCTAGTTCTAAAACCAGAGGATCGGCGACTAAATCTTGTTTTCATTTTTTTTTTCCTACTCTTGTTTTGTTGATATTCGATAGACCTCTCTTTAATCTATTGTTCTAGTTCTAATTTGTTTTTTGTTTTGCTGCAGTTCTAATGGTGTCATTGATGTAATCTTGAACTGGGTTTAGGTTTTCCTCTCTCTCTCTCTCTCTCTCTCTCTCTCAGCTTCATACGAATATCCATTTCAATCTACTACTTATACCAAGCATTTTGCTCTTTCTGTTTGAGGTAATGCCACTGAGAAACTTTTGATTTTTTTTTTTTTTTAAATATAAAGATTTGTGTAAAAGTGATTGTGTTTATTTTATATTAGCTCCACTTTGCAATTATTGGTTGGTTTGATCACAGTTTTATTTAAATCATTTGCTATAAAGTTTTTCCTTACTGTCTTTGTTTGCTTCTAAAGAAATTCTAACAATTATTTAGAACACCCCATTTGTTACAAAGTGTTTTCTTGATTAATATGAAAAGTTTATAACTCTGACATGTTGTAATTTGTTTGGTTGATTCTAGTTGGATTTTTATTTTTGGGACTTGTATTGAATGCTTTGGAATGTTATGTGAGGAAGCTAAACAGGTTTATGAATTCTGGGAATTGATTTGCTGCTAAACAGAGGAGGGTATATCATATTGTTTATAACTCTGAATTGAATTGAAAAGTTTGTAACTCTGAATTGAATTGATTTGTTGCTAAACAGAGGAGGATATGTCATATTGTTTATAACTCTGAATTGAATTGATTTGCTACTAAACAGAGGAGGGTATGTCATATTAATTAAAATCATAAGGAAAAACAGACCATGGATTTAAAAAGCATATTTTGAATATTTTTTATTTGTTTTTGACAGTATATTTGATAATCTTTTGGTCATGGATCCTTCAAGCAAAGAAATATTTTTTGTGAGTCCTAATGTTGAGCCCGAATGTTGACCCCTCTACCCAACCTAATGCTCCCCCTCTTAGACCACCCCTGGCCAAAACTAGTAGTAGTAGTGGGAGAACAACATCAAAGGCTTGAGATCATTTTGAAAAGAATAAGGGTATTGATGAGAAAGATAAGGCTATGTGCAAGTTTTGTAAGAAAGAATATATGGCAGGATTTAAGAGTCATGAACAAATAATTTGTTAAGTCATTTGAAAAATTGTACATAGTACCCATATAGGGCTACTCATGGACAACAAACACTAGGATTTCAATCTAGAGAAGTTGGTGGGGAGGGTGTTGATGTTGTGGCTACGTCACTTTCTATAGAAGTTGCTAGGAAGTATCTTGCCGAGATGATAATAATTGATGAATTGCCCTTTAGATTTGTGGAGGGGATTTGTTTTAAGAGGTTTAGTAACGTCATGCAATCCAAGTTCAAGATCCAATCTCAATATACTGTTGCTAGGGACATTGTAGACATATACACCAATGAAAGGGAGAAGTTGAAGAAAATTGTGAAGGGGCATAGAAATTGCTTTACCACAGACACATAGACTTCTATACAAAATTTGTGTTATATGTGTCTAACTGCACATTTCATTGATGATGATAGGAAGTTACAAAAGAGGATCATAAATTTTTGTCAAGTTGAAGACCACAAAAGAGAAACTCTTGGTAAAAAAATTGAGGCACTCTTAAAAGAGTGGGACATTGATGGCCTTTTTACCTTAACTGATGATAATGTAAGTTCCAATAATCTAACCATTAGATTCTTGAAACGAACCACAAAACTATGGGAGGGAACAATCTTGGGCCATGAATTTTTACATATACATTGTTGTGCATATATTCTAAATCTCATTGTTGGTGATGGATTGAAGGATCTTGAGTCTTGTATAGAGAATGTGAGGCATGCAGTGGGATATGTGAGGTTTTCTCCAAACCGCCTTGACTCTTTTAAAAAGTATGTGGAAGGTTTGAAAATTGAGAGTAGGAGTCTCTTGTGCCTAGATGGGCCAACACGGTGAAATTCCACATATCTTATGTTGGAGGTGGCGGAAAAAATTGAGAGTGTTTTTCAAAAAATGGGTGAGGACTACAATTATAAACACTACTTTTTGGATAATGAAGGGGGTGATAGGAGAGAGATGCCAACAGCTAAGGATTGGGATAATTGTAGAGTGTTTTTGAAATTTCTTATAATGTTCTACAATGCAACAAAAAGATTTTCTGAGTCTTTATTTGTTACTTCAAATACATTCTACACTGAAATTTTTGTCATTGAAAATATGATTGGACAATTAATCGAAGACAATGATCCTATTTTGTCTTCAATGACAAAGAAAATGAAAAAAAAGTTTGACAAGTCTTAGGGAAATGGGGATAAAATTAATCTCCTTTTGTATGTTGCGGTTGCGCTTGATCCTCGAAGAAAAATGACATATTTGCAATTTTATTTTTCAACAATTTTTGGTGGAGATGTAGTGAAAGTGAAAGAAATGCTAGACAAGGTAAAAAATTATGAGTCAATTGTATGATCATTATGCCACACTTGATTTAACAAATGTGCATGCCTTCAATGTAAATGAAACAGTAGATATTGTGATAGATGACAATGACCCACACTCTATTGTGAACTCTCAATTTAACTCATTTTTGGAGGAGCAATTTTCTAGTGGTGGGAGTGTGTCGAAATTGGACAAGTACTTAGGTGATATTGAGAAAGGTGGGAAGAATGCTCAATTTGACATTTTGGAGTGGTGGAAGGTAAATGCAACAAAATATAGAGTATTATCACTTCTAGCACGAGATGTATTGGCAATGCTTGTTTCCAGTGTTGCTTCTAAGTTGAATTTTAATACAGAAGATCGTATACTTGATCCATTTCGTAGTTCACTTGCTCCCAAGATGGTGGAGGTTCTTGCTTGTACACGAAATTAGCTTCGAAATAACATTTCAATACGCCTTCGACAATCAATGGAGGATGATGAAGAATTTGAACAACAATATGATTTGGGTAATGTATACAATGATTTTATTTTATTTTTAATCCATTTCATTTATTTTGTTTTTTGAAAATTCATTATCTTCACTTTACATGCTTTTGTTGCGTTATGTTTTATCAAATTCATGTTCAAGCCCAAGTCCAGAGAGTAATTTTATTCAAGTTTAATATCATTGGTAAAATATTACCCTTTTGTTAAATGTTGTTAACATATGTTTACTTATTTATAAGTTTATTAAACAATTTCATTTTTTTGTTATGCAGGTTTATATGACTCATGGTTTTTTTGTTTCTTTTTGGATGACTGTAACTTCTTTTTTTCTTTTTTTGATGCACAATGTTTATTGGATGGCTGTAACTTTTTTATTTTTGGAACTCTTGGATGACTGTCGCTTGAATGCACAATGTTTTCCTTATGTTTTATGTGTAAGTTAGATGATTTATGCCCATTGGATGCACAATGTTTTGGGTGATATTGAATTATGCCCATTGCAATCCAAGTTGCACTACCCATGTTTCGTAGATGTGAATGAATAAATATTTTGAATTATGCCCATTGCAATAAAAACTGTTTTGCATTGCCCAAGATGAACTGCCCAAATTGTTTCATAGATGTAAATGAATAAATATTTTGAATTATGTCCATTGCAATGAATTTTGCATTGCCCAAGTTGCACTGCCCAAGTTGTTTCATAGATGTGAATGAATAAATATTTTGAATTATGCCCATTGCACTGAATTTTGCATTACCCAGGTAGCACTGCTCATGTAGTTTCATAGATGTAAATGAATAAATATTGCATTGCTTGGGGGTTTTTTTTTTTTTATGTTGAAAATTTGTAAAATTTCAAACCGCCAAATCGATTCGTATCCATCCGCCCAATCCGCATCCACCGGATTGGCAGACGGATGTAGATTGATTTTTTCCAATCCGCTAATTTGGCGGACGGATAGTGGATTAGAAGTTTCGTGGCCGCAACCGATCTGCGCCTACCCCTAATGCATATCATGAAGAAACAAGTACAGTACTTCTTGGAGGGAAAATCACCTGGTTCCCGTAGACTCTAGGAATCTGTTCCAAGCTGCTTTTCCCAGACTTTACCTAGAAAATGCAGTTATTGAGAAATTTAAGATGTAAGAAGCATAAGCATACTGTAAATACACATTTGATAAGAAGCATCTCACTCCTGTTCTTAAATATTCTTCTGCTGCATAAACTGCATCACTTCCAATAGAAATCTTATCAGCACCTGACCTGAAATATTCTGAAGCAACTTCCAAACTAGAATAGCGCCTAAATATTAATACAAATTTCTAACCGCAGAAGTTTTGTAAATAAAGTATTTAAAGACAAACTCAGGAAAACTGATATTAAATGTTAAGAACAAAAGAAGATTCCACCAAAAATAACAGAAGAACAGTGTAAATGTACCTGCCATTTCCATCAGTAAAATCTCTGATACCACCTCCAACTGTTAATGGTACAAAAACATTTTCTGACGCACACCTCAATACCTAAAACCAGAACAACTGACAAAAAGTTAGGAAATGACAGCACAATATACAAAGATTTATGCTGGACATTCACGTTAATCGCTTGCTGACAAACCTGCAGCATTGGCAAGTCACCTAGAGGGAAGGCACGGAAACCGGTAATATTCAAGAAACTAACCTGAAATACAATGTTCAGGCTTAAAACCAATTTCATGACTCTTCAACAAAATATGAACATCACATCTATCCAAAACCGGGCATACCTCATCAGCCCCATCTTTGTAATACTATCCGGCAAGATCCACCGGCTTGCCAAGGTTTCTCACCTTCAAAAAGATGATGACACTACTCATTACCAAATAAAAAAAAATTGAAGTGATGCATAAGCAATGCACATGATCATAATCCCATATAGAATGAGAAAATATATAAATATAAAAAAAAAAAATTGAAGGGAAAAGAAAGATATGGAGAGAGAAAGCGAGAGAGAGAGGGAGGGAGGGAGGTGAGGTGAGGTGAGGAGAATATGGAGAGAGAGAGCGAGAGAGAGAGGGGGAGGGAGGGAGGGAGGTGAGGTGAGGTGAGGAGAAGTGGGAGTTAATTGCTATTATTTACTTTTTTCAAAAAGGTAAAGTTTTGTCTTTTCACCAGCATCTATATTTTCTTTTTCTTTTCTTTTTTTTCCCTTCATTATTCTCAATTTAAAGGATCAAGGACAATGCACACTTTCTCCATGTGGACACCAAGCTGGAAACCCAAACTGTTCTGGTTTAGTACAACAATAATCCTTCACAAGGGTTTCATGCTTTTTAAAACTTTATTCCCTTTCTTTAGATTCTGCAAGACATTTTTGATCGGCATAAATTCTGCGAGATACAAAAGCAATCCATTGACTATTTTGCTTATGGTCATAGTTAATGAACAGTTAGTAACACAAATGCTTGCTGCAATGGTAGAAGCTTGTGCTCAATTGAGCAAATGTGTGTTCAAATTGATGGTGGCACTTCATACCAAAAACGCTAGAAAGGTTACGTCTACACATGGTCTGCCTTGTCCAGAATCCTGAATTGCCTAGACATACATTTCTTAGTGGCATTAAATTCTGCTGTATAGGGCCCATGCTTATTAAAGGTAAGTTATACATCCTAAAACATATGCTACTTTTTCCAAGTAATGCATAAAGAATTGTCCAAAGCATTGTTAACCCTAGTATGAAGAACCTTCATTGCAATGTCTAGGCATAGAAAACTACAAGTAACAAGATAAGTTGCTAATATCAAATAGGAACTCGCAAGTTAACCATCCAAGAGTTGGACCAAGTGTTGGACATAGCTAGGAACTTTCTTTAACTTGTCTTGGTAATTACTCCCAAGAAATATGCAGAAAAATACTTACTAAGTGGAAATGTTGACAAAGGGAAGAAGTATTACTCAATACTTGGAATAAATTGATCCCACTTTAAAACTTCATTAAAGGTCCATATCCAGTGTAGGAATTCTATATTATTGACCAATCAGTATTAAAAATTGCATCAATAACAAAAAAAAAAAACTTCAAGAAACCAAAACATTAATGAACTAAAGTATAATATATCCCAAAACTCTATGAAGCTAACTCACAATTACTTGGGTCAACATGTAATCCTTGCTACTTCTAAAAGAATATTATTCTTATTGCCTCAACTTGTCATTTGAGCTTTCACTTGTCCTCAGTCCACTTAACCCCATACATATCACACTAGACTATCTTTTCATTAGCATGTTTAGAAAAATATTCACATATGATATGTCTTCCTTCTTTTGCATGTGCCTAATGAAGAACATCAGAGATTTGTCAAGCATGTTAATTTGTAAAGGACATAGCATGTGTCCTTGGCAAGGTCATTAGAATGGAACTCAAAGATCCAAATTCTATCCTAATTTGCAAGTGAAATGAATTTCTAGATAAATGCAAATTTATGTTTAATATATATGGAAATGAAAGCTTGATCAAAAATAATAATAAATTATGAGCATAAGGAGATCTGAAGTGACAAAATCTCAAATAACAAGTAAAGAATAATTAGAAATCAGGACACTGATGGATGAAAAGGGATCAACTACTTGCATAACCCTAAAAATTGAACAGAGCATTCTGAAAAATACAGATTGGCCAACTCAATTGATTCAACTTCCAAGAAAGCAATCAAAATTTTTGAAGCACTCCTAAAACATGAAGACAACATTAAATAGGTTACCCTATCTTATATAATTTAAAAAAAATAAAAAAATTGTGAGGACTTACAATTCCAATAAGGTTCTCAAGGCAGAGCACAAGAGAACTTTTAGTTGCAGCAGAGCAGACTGCTAATTTTTTACCCTATAACCATCAGCCAAAAAGCAAATATGATAACAGAGGGAAGCATAGACAAGTAGGATTCTTCATGTATGAAAAAGGACATGGAATTTGACAACTTTGGAAAGAATAAGTAGTCTTATAATCTAATTAAATGTGGATAACAGATGCAAATTCAACGAAAAACTTAAGAACCATGACAAAGTGATTATTGCATTTATAAGGTAAAATTTTCATCTTACAGCATCCTTGGCCTCATCCATCAATCTCAATACTCCAGGTCTGGGCTCCACCTGCCCATTAACTCAAATCCATTTTCTTCACAATCATTCATCCAGAATAATCACCCACATAGATGAACTAACAAGTAATCATAAATGAAGAATACAAAAATTTGTACTTACAGTCCCAGATCTGAAAATTTCTTTGTATCTTTCAGTCTTTCAATCCTACAGATAGATAACCCTAAAACAATCAATACAACCAACTAATTGATGATACAGACATGGTTGTTAAAATCGCGATCCGGATCGTACGATCCTACGATCCTACTTTGCCAAAACGATCCAGATCGTTGTAGGATCGATGTTACAACAGGATTGCAAGTAGGATCGTGTAGGATCGCATGAGATCGTGTAGGATCGTATAGGATCGTAGATTTTATGATTTTTCACCTTATTTTTAATATGTATCATTTTAATTTTAATTTTTATCTTTTTTTTTAATAGAAAGTAGGATCTTACGATCCTCGATCCGATCCTACGATCCGATCCACCAAACCCTCTCACCGATCCTACTTAGGATCCCGATTTTAACAACCTTGGATACAGATTATAAATCTTTTCAATTCTACAAAATTAGCACAAAGATCGTGCACTAGTATAGAAACTCAAAAGGTATAGAACCTTTTCTTACAATCCAGTTGGATGCTTAAAAATATACAATGGGGTAAACACCATATGAACGATTTGCATCGTAAATGTCCCTTGATTTGCCCTCTAGAAACAAAAACTCAACTAAAGTTTACCGAAGAAGGTTATTTGGATAAGTAATCTCCATTTCATAAATATAAATAAATAAATAAATCATGGAACCTTTCTTGTTTTTCAATTTCCTCAATATTTTCTCGGCAGCCAAACGCATGCCTAATTCTCTAAAAAAAAAAAAAAAAAAAAAAATTCACGGAAGCTATCTTGTTTTTCAATTTCCTCGGTATTTTCTCGGCAGCCAAATGCATGACTAAGGCCTAGTTTGGCTTATACTATATAAGTCAAAAAGCTAAAAAGTTACTCCAAAATCCAAAAAGATATCACTATTCACCAAAAAAAAAATTTAAAAATCAATTTTCTTCCCAAAAAGTACAATTTGAATTGATGTAAAGCAGCGGCTGTGCAGCAAAAATGAAATGATTCGGTGTGATTTTCACACACACCGTTGTTCGTCCCATGGGGGCCATTACGGGTCCCGTTTTGATAATCTGAACCGTTCAATGTATAGAAATCGTCGAGTACTATATGTCTGCAAAAAATCACATTGATCGGATATCGATAACTATATGATCAAATCAGTTATATACAACAAATGGATGGTGTTATAATTAATGATTGAAAAATAAATAAATCTGATCAGATAGCTATCGATATCCGATTAATGTGATTTTTTATAGGTACATAGTGTTCGACAAGTTACATACATTGAACGGTACAAATTATTAAAATGGGACCCGTGATGACCCCCACGGGCCAAACAAAACAATCCAATGCTTCGTACAAAAATTAGCCAATAATTTCCAACTCTAATACACTCTAGCCGGTTGTACAGCTGGGGCCCACCCCTCTCTAATCGTTTCTTACACACTTTTTTTATACAATTTTTTAATACACATTTTTTCATAAAAAGTCAAAAAGTTAACCCAAACCTCCATATTTTTTTTTTGTCTTTTTTAGTCCAAAAAGACAAAAAGTACACTTTTTTAGGACACCCCAAACCAGCCCAAAGAAGGTTATTTGGATAAGTAATCTCCATTTCAAAAAAAAAAAAAAAAAAATTCACAGAAGCTTTCTTGTTTTTCAATTTCCTCGGTATTTTCTCGGCAGCCAAATGCATGACTAATTCTCAATATTTCCTAAGTATTTTCAATTTCCCCAGTTTTTATTTGAACATCTAAAAGGGGAACCCAGCTCAGTTTTTATCAAACTAGAAATTTATATTTATATATACATATACATGAACAGAGAGAGAGAGAGAGAGAGAGAGACTAACCTCGTAAGCAGAAGTGACGGAGCCCAAGATGAAGAGGCAACAAAACGGGGGATGAAGTGAATGGAGATGGTGGCTAGGGTTTCGTTACTGATTGGGAGTGTAGAGAGTGAGGAGATACAACGATAAAGAGAGCAACCAATCTGACCAGGAATCTCAATCGATTGAAGAGAGCAACGATAAAAAGGAAGCTCAATCGATTTAGGAATTCATATTTGATTTAGGAAACATTCAAAACTATATAGTTTTGATATAAAATATGGTCTTTTCCTTTCTGTGACCACAATAAGTTGGTCACCAACAGTCTTGACATCCTGCTTTTTTTTTTCCCTCTCCCGCCATTACTTTCTGCCACCAAAGTTTATTTTTTGGTCGCAAAAAATGACCTATTAGCCACCAAAAAGTTGTTGGTCGCGAAAACACAACCCATTAGCGACCAAAAAAACGTTAGTCGCAAAAAATAAACTATCTGCAACCAACCCAAAAAAGGTGGTCGCCAAAAGCATTTTTTCTTGTAGTTGGCTTGTGTTGTAATCTAACTACTAATTTTAGTAACATCTTACCTTGTGCCGAAATAAAAAATAAAAAAACAAGAGAAAGAAAGTCAAGAGCATCTGTAATCAAGTAAATTGCATGGAAAACCAAATGAATATTGTCATAATTAATATGAATAACTACAATAACTAATGGCACTAAAACTAGTTCACACTTCACAAGCAATTCTACAGCTCTATTTATTTTAAGAGAAATTTAGTACATAGTCAGACTTCAGATACACATCTAAACTGAGAAGTACCCAACGCATCACACAACAAAAGTGGCTCCAAGAAAGGAGGGAATGAGCCAAAACACGTACGTATGGATGTGTTGTGGAATGCATATGTGGACCTAGAATCTGCAACAAATTTGGCTCTCTCAATGGTGAAAAATGCACTTGCAGTGGATCAAACACCTTGAGCTAGCTCCAGGCTGTCCATAACCAGCTGCTTCAGCCTGCTATTGCTAACCTGTTTCCTGCAAAGAGCAGCAAAAACTGTTTTAGAATCAGTTTCAATGATCAGCTTCTGAAAGCCTTGATTTTGAGCATGTCTAATCCCTTCTCTCACTGCCCAAATCTCAGCCATAGCATTTGAACTTTGCCCCATGGATTTTGAAAAAGCCACAATTGGAGCTCCTCGGCCATGACGAAAGACAGAATGTGAGTAATATTTTCAGAGCCAGATCTACACAGAACGAATTTTGAGATTATATCATGTGTCATTCATGGAGAAGGAAGTTTGTAGGTAACCTCTCATGTTGAAGGAACCAAAGGAACATTTTAATCCTAGTGTCTAGTTTAACTTATCATATGGCATTCCAAGGAAGAGCTGGAAGAGGAGGCTTGCATTTTCTTGGCACCAACCATATATTGTTAGAACTTTATAACTGAATTACTTGAGTTTTTTTCCTTTGTTTTTTTTTGGGTGAATAAATTACTGAAGTTTTCATCATGTGAAGAGCCCAAAAAGGATAGTCATCCACAGCTCAAATTGGAATTGGTATAGCAGTGGTAGTTAGCCTAACAGGTAAGAATAGGGGGACAAAAACAAAATAGTAGATTTATTACAAATAAAAGTTTGACTTAAGGATAGAGAATATAGTTAGAATAATATGTAATTAGCTCACTGAATCCTCTCTAGCCTCAGAAACTATGAGACAATTTTCCACAAGAAATAGGATTGAAATCGATGGACCATTTCTGGATGCCTTAAGGGTGTAAAAAATTTGTTCATGTTCTGCCTCCTAAACATTTCAAACAAGGGAATCAATGGCTAAACTAAAAAGTTAAATGGAAAAGGGGTCATTTTGCTGCAAACCTATTTCCATTTTAAAAGGCCAGGATGGGGTTCCATTGACTAAAACTCTGATGACAGAAGTAAAAATACATTCCTAGAACAAGCTTAAAATAGGAAATTTGTGACACCTTAAAATATAGTAACAATCAGATTACATTTGGTATGTAAGAACTCATGAGCCAACATTACATTATCACTGATATTTCAGCTCGGAACAAAAGCCTTTTGAAAAGGAAAAACAAACTGTTAGAATTTATCTCCACCTACCACCTCCACTATCACACACTCCACACCTACCAACTCCACTATCACACACTCCACCTACCACCTCCACTTCACTCCTACACCTACTACCACATTTTCTTCTATATATAGGAATCCTTGTAATTGTAATCTATATAAATCTTGTAACAATTCAATACAATCTATCAATAATACAATTCTCTCTATTTCTCTTTATATATTAAATCTTGCATGGTATCAGAGCAAGGTTAAACAACTTAGTAATTCCGCCGGACAAACCCAAATTTCCTTCATTTCTTCTTCACTAGTAGTTCTGTATTTGGTTCCATTACACAGGATAATAAGTTGATAATTTATTACCAAACTAGGATTAGGTTTCTTCAGTATAAGAACGATAAAGGTTTCATTAAGCTTCTTTACCCATTAATAAGATCGACCATTGATCAAGACCTGGAGCTGTATTTGATCCCATCCTATTTAAGCAAAATTTGACCTTTTCCTATGAGACTGTTAAAAGTTGTTAGATAAATTGATGTATAGAGAAATAGAGAGAATGAATTATGTATTGATTGATTGATATGTTGCTATATTTACAATTCCTATATATAGAAGAAAATGTGGTAGTAGGTGTAGGTGGTAGGTGGAGTGAAGTGGAGGTGGTAGGTGGAGTGTGTGGTAGTGGAGGTGGTAGGTGGAGTGGATGGTATATTTACATTTTACAATTTACATTTTACATTAACAAAAGTAATTGATTAGTATCTTCTGCTGACACAATAAAAATTCCCTTGTTGGTACAAGTTCTAATAAATAAATAAATGAACAACAAGAACAAGCAACTAGATAATCACGAAGAACACTAACTCAGGTGCAACATATAGACCATCACTTTTGCCATAAACAGAATTATACAATAATGCAGTTTCTAATTGTTCTTAACATATGAATGTAGCTCTATCATCGTACTATAAAAAATTATGTGTTAATTGCTAATCAGAAAGCAGTTTCAATTCTATCTAGTAGGTGTAGAAGGAAAGCTAGAATATAACATTAGAAGCTGAGAAATTCAGTTGTCAATTACCAGATAGTTCAAAGTGCTCTGAATCTTCCACCTACCCCATAGGCAGCTTACCCTTCTCTTTATCATTCTTTTGCTGCAAAACAAACTCGTGAAATTTCTCTGCTTTCTGCTTCATTCTCAAAATTATCTCTTCAGTCTCATCATATATCTGTTTCGGCAAATACACCTCCAAATAATCAAACCAATCCCCAAGAGTCATCTTCTCCAAATCTGGCCCGTCTCCAGCCTCAACACCACCCTCCTCATTCAAGCCTTGCTGCCCCAAATCTGCATTCTCCCCAACCTCCTTATCCTCCAATACAACAGTTTGAACAGCTTCTGGTTCCTCATTCAGTGAATTCTCTTTAATTTTTTTACAGTCTTCTTGCCCCAAATTTGACTCCTTCACATCTCCTCTTTCTTCCAAAACCTCATTCTCAACGCTCTTCAATGGCTCATCCCTCATACCCCCTCCGGTCTTTTTATCAACAATCTGAGCTGAAGGATCTAGTTCTTGACACCCATTTCCATCTAGACTTGAATTAGCTTCCTTTTTCGAACTGCAAGTCCTCCTAGTACTCACTTGCCGTTGCCTCCCCTGTTTTGTCTCAATTGGACCTACATTGTCCAATTTTTCAACTTCAACAATCTCACACAAGCTCTCTTCAGGCTCACTCTTCAAAACCTTACCTTTCCTTGGCCGACCTGGCCGTCTGTTCTTCTCTTCCACCACCACCACTTCTTTCCCCAATTCTGCACCAATGTTCTCAACCTCACATAATCTCTCTTGAATCTCAGTAGTCACAGCCTTACCTCTCCTTGGAGGACCTCGCCGCCTCTTATTCTCTGCCGCAACCTCCGTCTTATTCACCAATTGTCCATCAAACCGTAACCCTAACGCACCACAATCACCAATCGAACTCAAATTCGGCTTCTCTGCCACAACACCCACACCACACGATTCCTCCTCCTCCTTAGCCGCTCGATTTCTAGGGTTTCGCCGCAACCGATTATCATCGCCCTTGACCTCAATCTTCACCTTAATGGAGGTATACTCGCCGAACTTGATGGTGTCGCCATCGCCGAGATCGGAGGGGCTCAGAGGCTGGAGCTGTGAACCGTTCAAAACGGTGCCGTTAGAGGTATCGAGGTCGGTGATGACCCATTTGCCCGATTTGGATTCGATCAAGAGGTGTTTGGAAGAAATACCTGCGTCTTTGATGGCGAATGTGTTGCCACGGACGACTCTGCCTATTCGGATCACGGATCCAGGTCTGTATTCTAGGGTTTCGCCCTCTCGAGGGCCTTTCTCCATGATTAGCTTCAAGGTGGAGGCTTCTTCCTCCATTGTTATGCAGATACAGATACTAAGCGAAGTGTAGAACTGAAGAAGATGAGAGAGAGAGAGAGAATAGCATTCAGGGGGGAATTCGTAATTTCTCAAACCTCAGGGGTATCTGTAATTTTGTCAAACCTGGAGGGGTGTATATGTAATTTGCCCAAAAGATAAAAATAAATTAAAATAATTATAAGATAAAATATTATACTAAATTTATAATTATTTTATTTTTTTCTCACAAATATCAAATCTAATTAACATCTAATTATAAAAAAATATAACTCTCTATATTAATGTGCAACAGTGATGCATACCCCCAGTGGGGGTCGCACCCCCAGTGAGTACCCCAGTGAGGTGTCGCACCCCCACTGGCTGAAATCCAAAAAAAAAAAAAAAAAAAAAAAACAGTTTTTTTTTTGTCAAATGATGGACTGCCACCTCACTGGGGGTCGACCCCCAGTGGGTGTATGGGGCATTTCTGATTAATGTGCCTACCTAACTCTAATATCATGAAAAATAGTAAAGGTAATAACTATCTAATTATAAAAAATTAAGGTGATCAAAATACCTTAATCAATTTTTTTTTTTTTTTGTCATTTTATCTCTTTTGTTTTTGTGTGCATTTTCCACCATTCTAAAACCTTTCAACTTCTTTTCATATTCACACAGCTCTATAATACAACTGAACTGAAACTTCAGTTTTTTTCATCTTCATAGCAAGATGGAGAAGTTAACATAAAGGCCAAGTTTGGAAAGTTATAAAAAAATCAAAAAATTAAAAAATTATTTAAAAAGTTAAAAAGTTATTATTATTTATAAAAAGTCAAAAATTACGGATGCATAACTCTCAATCTTAATTTTTCCCTACACACTAATTTATATAATTTTTAATACACGTTTTTTCATAAAAAGTCAAAAAGTTAATCCAAATAATTATATTTTTTTCCTCAACTTTTTAGTCTAAAAAGACAAAAAGTACACTTATTGAGGACACCCCAAAATATAAAAAGAAAAATTATTTGATGGTCCTGGAACATCACATGACCATATATTAAGCCTTCGTTTGGTTTTCTTCTATATAAACAAAAGACAAAAAGTCAAAAAAACATCATTCTATACTAAGGGCAATTTTGTCATTTTAAAGTCAAAAAATCAAAAAAACTAAACAAAAATACCAAACGACTAAAAAAATCAAAAAAATCAAAAAGTCAACTAAAAAAGCCAAAACCAAACTAGACCTAAGTCAATCATAAACTCTCATATCTGTCCTTGTTTTTCAATCTCCCAATACAAAATCTTTCATTGCTCTACCAATCACAATACACGTGGAAACCAACCATTAACTTCTCAAATAAAAGGGGAAAAGTCTTCTTGGAGATTTCGTTATTTTGAACTTGAGAGACTGGTGAACAGGTTAGTGAACAGGTTATTGATTGGTGATGTTGCAACAATTGTTTTTGGATTCATATATCTTTGTTGATTAATCTTATAAAATTATTTTATATTTGTGTATTTTAAATTCATATATCTTCGTTGATTAATCTTATAAAATTATTTTATATTTGTGTATTTAATTTTTTTTTTTTTAAAAGTCACAAAATGTCATCATTTAAAAATTTGTAATTTTTTAAAAAAAGTTTAGAGAAGACAATAAACAAAAACAAAAACAAAAACAACAACAACTAATTTTTGTGACAAAAAAATATATTTATTGATATAATAATATTTGTGTAATATCATGTCGTAAAAAAAATGATAATAATAATATTTATTAATATATATATATATATATATATATATAAATGATATATACACATGCATATTGTTGCCCTGAAGAATGTAATTGGATTAAAGATTAGGTAAAATTTATAAAAATATCTAAATAGAAGGAATTAAAGAAAAGGGGTAATTTGGTCTTTAGCCAGATATAATTATTGCCTTTACTATCTAAATATGCATAAAATTCATACATAAAAAGCTTGACAAGAATGATGTTGCAATATGATTATTGTAAATAAATCTATTTAATGATATTTTATTTTGAAGTGAAAGATCCACAATAAATCACATCATTATGTATTAAAATTATATATACATATATATCTATATAATAAGGCACAAAGCTTTTTGAAAAATGTATCAAAATGTATGTGAGATACATTTTGATCCAATGGTTGAGATCAATTCTAAATATATATCAATGGTTGAGATCAATGGTTGGAGAGAAGCATTTCCCGCCCAACACATTTCTGTCTCCCCCATACCCTCTGTCTCCCCCATACCCTCTGTCTTCTTCCCATTCCTACTCTCTGATGAGATGTGAAGCTTGGCTTGGCTGCTGCAGAGTTGATCTTCCCATTCCTACACTTTTTTATATAATGTGAATGAAGCAGATGTATGTCGATCATCAGTCATCAAATACTGCTGCAGAGTTGATCTTCCCATACCATTTTTTTCCCATACCCTCTGTCATCAATACTGCTGCAGATAGTGAGGTGTGTATTGTATATATTGTTATAGCATTTGATGATAGCATTTGATGATAAATTGTATATATTGTATATATTCTATGTCATAATTTGATGATAGCATTTCATAATAGAAGTTTCATTTGCCTTCGGGGGGAAAAAAAAAGAAGGAAATAATAGAAGTTTGTGTTGTGATACAAATGGAAATAATAGAAGTTTGTGTTCAGAAAATGGGTTTGTATGATATAGATGATCACGGGTGGGTTTGTATGATTTGAATGATATAGATGTGTGCCTTCATCAGCCTTTGAATGGAAGCACGTCACAAGAGACAGGGAAATGATGACCAAAGGATATAAGCAAGGATAGAAAGACAAGAATAAGGTTAAGTTATCTCTCTCTTGTTCCCTCTCTACATATTCCCTACTTCTTCCTCTACTAATTCTCACGCCGGAGGGTTCACTGGAGGACTGGCCCGTTCCCCTTTGGGCTTGCATGCAGGTCATTTGACGGAATCATCACCCCGAACCGAAACCTGAAGAGCCTGGACCAGTCCGACCCATTCACCCGGGAAGAAGAACGTTATCAGTTGGCGCCGTCTGTGGGAACTTAGTGGTTTATCCGTGCGCTAGTTGTGTTCACTACCGCCGGAGCCCTCCCTTCTCACCATCACCTTTCCCTCTTGCCCGTCCAGGTATATGGTCACGACTAGGTCCATGGCTTCTCACCACAACGCCGCCGATCACCAAACAGATCCTTCCCACCCAACCAACCCACCACAATACATCATCGAGCTCACCAACAGCATTAACCGCATAGCCGAGCAAAACCAGGCCCTGATCAATGCGTTGCTCCAAAGAAACCCCCCCGTTCCACCTCCAAATATCCCGCCCAACCAAGGAACAACCCCAGGCCATACTGCTCCACAACCCCCTCCGCCTAACCCAGAAGGTTCGCAGCCCCTTTCTCCCCAACATGAAAACCTACCACCCCCACCTCCATGCCCGCCAGTCGCAGCACTGGCTCCTGAGGGGGAAGCTAGCAGTGTCCAGCCTCCATTGACGGACCATGGCGACAACATTCCCCTCTGGGACGCTGAAATCCGAGCTATGAAACTCTAACTACAAGGGGTCATGCAGAACATTCAGCACAAGCCCTCAGTCACCACCAACTCGCCTTTTGTTGCCTCCATCCGCGACAAACCATTGCCTGCCAAGTTCAAGATGCCTACCAATCATCTGAGAAATGAGGCCAAAGCATGCACACAACTCAAGTAAAACATGCTAGAGACTTTGAAACTCAACGCTAGTGAGCAAGATTGCACTATGGCTATACAAAGCATGAGCCACATCACCAAGTCCACTCAAATCAGACCTAAAGCACACTAAAACATAGCCAAACAAAAATGCTGGAGTAGAGCATACACATGCTAGATCAATAGGCTAAAACACCAAACATGTTAGGCTAGTGAACAAAATTGCATTACAAGTGCAAGAAGCATGCAAGAGGTAACCAATCTAGCCACAAAAAGATCTAAAACATGTTTAAAAAGTCACAAAAACATACTTAGATCAAGGCAAGGTATAGTATAAAAACATGCTCAAGTATAAGGCCATCAACACAAGCAATCAAGACACAAGGAGAGGGGATGACCCCCTCCTATTTGGGGCCTCAAAACACACTTTCCACCACTAAAATTCCTCTGGAATTCAGTGGTTGAAAGGCCAAGAGAAGGTGATCTCAAAGGCCTTAAAGCATAGCTCAAAACAAAGCAAAATAAGCCACAAAAGGGGGTAGACCACCCCTAACTCAAATAAGGCCTTAAACAACCACTTTTAACACCTGAAAACAAAGCTTTTTTTAGTTGAAAGCTAGGCCTAAAATAGCATGCAAAGGTGGCTAAGCTTGTATACAAAAATAAGCTTAAAAGAGGATAAAGAGATTACCTTTAAAGCACAACAACAACAGCAACTTCTTGAGCCAAAAACTAACTTTTAGGCTCCAAACAAGACCCTCAAGCACCTCAGCAACAAAGTAGGAGTGTTTGGCTAAGAGGTTGTGTGCAAATATGTGAAGAAAATTCAATTTCAAGCACAATATATATATATATATATAGAGAGAGAGAGAGAGAGAGAAATCTAGAGAGAGTAATTTTTTGCTCTCCAAAAATTCTGAACCCTGGAAAAGGAGAGAGAGCTCCCTTTATATAAGCAATGCAAGGGCAAGCTTCCTTGACAAGCTTAGAGCTTGTTTGAATCCCTCCATACACGTGTATGGAAGATGCATTCTATGCTCACTAGCAATCACAGCTGGCACCAAAAATATCTACAAAAGCAGAAAAATGGTTGTAGGCCACTGAAAGTGGCCTACAGGAGGAAAAAATGGCCTACAACCACCAAAAGTAGCCGACAGGCCCTCCCCTTCCTCTAGGCAAGGGTTAATAAGGTATAGTCCAAAAAAAAAAACCAAAAGGAAGGGATCCAAGAGGCCCAGAGACAAGGCGCCCAGCCGAAATCCCCAGAAACTAGCCTACGAGCCATCGTAAGTGGCCGACAAGAGGGAAAAGTAGCCTACAACTACAAAAAGTGGCCTAGAGGC